GATTGGTTATGAATGCCGTTTTTTCCTTGTTGGCGGGGTCCATCTTGATCTGGTTATAGCCCGAGTACGCGTCCAGAAAACTCAGCAACTCGCGCCTTGAGGTCGCATCCACTAGACGGTCAATCTTAGAGAGTGGGAAACAATCCTTCGGGCAAGCTCGATTCAGGTCGGTGTAATCGACGCACATGCGCCATTTACCGTTGGCCTTTTTTACCAGAACGGGGTTAGCCACCTAGCTCGGGTAGTGGACCTCCCTGATGAAATTGGCTGCGAGGAGTTTCCCGACCTCCTCATCGTCTATCCTCCAGCGCTTTGGGGCGAGGTTGCGTTTTTTCTATCTATCTACCCTGACTAAAGGATCAGTGTTCAACTTGCGAGTTATTACCTTAGCATCTATACCGGGCATCTCTGCCGCGGACCAGGCAAACACATCTAAATTCTTAAGTAAAAAAGTTACCAGTCGAGAGCAGAGAGGCTCCTCGAGTTGCTCTGATCTGGAGGGTTCTGGCTTGATCTTCCATTGAGGTCGGAATGTGCATCGTCCCTTCAGTTGGTGGAGCTTGCTCCTCGAAGTACTCCATAGGCCGCTCTAGCTCGAGGTCGTCTGCCAGCTTGGCTTTCCCTTTGAGAGCGGCAACAAAGCACTTGTGGGACTCGAGCTGGTCGCCTCGCACTGTCCCAACTCTGAAGTCCATAGGGAACTTAATAGCCAAGTAGTAGGTGGCCACCACCACGCGAAGCACATGGGTGATAGGCCGACCTATAATGTCGGTGTACGGGGAGGGAGTCGTGACCACCAGAAAGGTGTGCTCGAACCTCGCGATGCTAGGCCAAGTGCCGATCTCCACAGGTACCGAGATTCACCCTAAGGGCTTGACTTCCTCTCCGCTAAAGCCTACCAGTGGAGTGCTCGTTGGATTGAGGTCGCTTTCCTGGAGCTGGAGCTTGTTGAATGCATCTTTGAACAGGATGTCTGTTGAGCGGCCGGAGTCAACCAGGATACGCTTCACCTCGAAGTCGTTGCCCCTCATCCTTATCACCAGTGCATCATCATGCGGGTACTGGACCCCTCGCGCGTCGTCTTCTGTGAAGAATATCGGGTCTTCGGGCCTGGGCCACTTCGGCGGATTCTGCTCTTCGCGCTCCAGTTCGCAAACCGAGGACTTTCTTGCGGCCGATGTGCAGCTTGCTACTATGGATCTGCCGGTGATCGTGTTGATCATCCCGCGGATCGGTCTGTCCTCGGGCGGCTGTCTCTGCGGTTGCTCGCTGCGTTGGCTGTTGGGCACGGGAGCATCTCTCCTTTGCTCCCCCTGTCGATCTGCCTAGTTTTTACTACTTTTTTGTACAAAATTTTTTAGGTAGCCGCGACGGATGAGCTCTTCGATCTCGTCGCGAGTTTTTTACAATCATCGATACTATGACCGTGATCTCTATGAAAGTGACAAAATACATTTTTATTTCTAAGGGCCGGGTCCCCCCTCAACCGGGGTGGCAACTTCACAAAAGAAGCGTCCTTGATTGCCATGAGAATTTCCCCTCGCTTCACGTTGCGGGGTGTGAAGCTCGTTCTCTCATCCGGGGGAGCTCGAGGGTGAAAGTCCGACTTGTTCCCTCCCCTGGTGGGGGACTTGCTTTTCTTTCTCTTGCCGCCACCGTTGTTCGAGTTGTGGTCTTCCCTCTTTCATTTCTTTGTTGGGGCTTCAGTCCTTTGGTTCATCTCTTCCTCGGTCCCGATGAACTGATCGGCGAGCTTAAGGAATTCTGTGATGTCTTCGGGTTTGTTTGCCCCCACATGCCACTTGAATTCTCTGTGGCTGATCCCCTTTTTTGCTGCTGCAAGTCTTACGACGAGGTCTAAGTCCGGGATTAGTAGGCAAGTGTCGTTGAAGCGTTTGATGTAGCTTCGAATCGACTCTCCTTCCCTCTAGACTATACTGAGAAGGCTTTTTTGTGACCTCGAACACTTCTTACTAGCGATGAAGTGCGAGGTGAACAATTGTACGAGCTGTGACCAACTTTTAACTGTCCCAGGTGCAAGGTTTCTGTACCAAGTGCAAGCTACCCCTTTGAAGGTCGTGGAGAAAGCAACGCACATGCAAGCTTCGTCAGCCCCAACGAGGTGCATCTGGGACTGGAAAGAATCTACGTGGTCATTTGGGTCGAAAGACCCGTCATACTTATCCAGGGGGGGACCCTGAAGTTCATCGGCATCGGGGAGGCCAAGAGCTCGGGGGACAATGGAGAGGGTACAAAGAGGAGGGGAGCAATTTTTGTGATTCCCGAGCTTACTTCCGTTTTACCCTTAGGCTGCTCAGGTTGGCTAGGTCCCGCGAGCTGGCCTGAATTTACCGCCCAAGGTGCCCTAGCACGTCTCCTTTGCTGCTGCTTGACTTGCTCCGCAGTGGTGCTGCTGACCTCCGCACTGTCAGATGGTGCTTTGGTCGGAAGTGATTCGGACTGCCGGCTACTACGGACTGGAATGTCTTGCATGGAGTCCTCAGCTAGGACCTCAAACTGGTTTCCTGCAAGAGGGCCTTTAGGTTGCGAAGGCCAAGGTGGACTGGTTCTGGTGGGTTGGGTATCTCTCGACCTACTTACTTGCTGGGAGATGGGAGGAACTTGTCTTTCCCTCCTTCCGCGAGACGAGACCTGGGAGATCTCTCCCCGACAAGGATGGCTGTTTTGGCGGTGAGGCTTTCTCGGGGTGATCGGACACTATGGTGGGGTCGGTTTCTAGTTCTGCTGCAGCGGTGGGTACTGCTGCTGGTACATGTGGTGCAGAACTTGCTGTTGATACTGCTGGAACTGCTGGACCTGCTGCATTTGGGCTCGAATAGCCCGCACAAAGTATACCAGGTCGCTTAGTTGGTTTTGTCCGACTCTAGGGGGAACCATAGAGGGTTCAACGGAGGTCGCACCCACTACAGGGAGAAGTGGGGCGTTCATAGGCTCAGTTGGTTGAGGTACAGTAGGTGCTGGAACCCCACCCGCGGGGAGCGGTATGGTGAACTGGCCTATGTAGCCATAAACGCCAGAGGTTGCCCCCGGAGACGTTTGCTTCGCTGTGCTGTCCGACATTGCTGGAAGAAGCCATGGGTTTTGATTTTGAGCTTGAGGTTTTTTGAAATGGAGATAAAAGGCTTTTAGTAACGAGTTCCCACAGATGACGCCGAATGATGTGGCGTAATCTAGCTGCTCCCTGCTGGAGATGATCTGACTGCCAGCAACGACATGAACTGAGTAGTCTGCAGGATAGGAGTCAGAGATCCTGGGGTGGCTCACCTGGCGGGGACACTCTGATGGCTAAGTTAGAGCACAGTAGTAGTAGAGAGTTTGAAGATGATAACAGTGAGTTAGGGAGCTAGAGAGCGAAGATTACATCCACAACAATAAAACAACATACCTTCGCCCCTAGGGGGTGAAGTCTTTATATATTGGAGTCCCTGTAGGTTGGTGGAATGGTTCCTGGATCCTCGCTATGATGGGATCCGCTTGCGTGTTAGGTGGGTAAAATGCCACCAATCGGTTAGATTGCCCCTTCCCGTCTGAACCGGGGAGTGGGTGAGCTAATATAGCCATTGCGAGGTATGATCCCGTAATACGCAGAACGCGGTGGTGAGGTCCTCGGGGTTGCCATGTAGTGGTCTGAACGGTAGGCGAGCTGCCTATGGGGTACCGGGCTGCCTGATGGCGAGCTGATTGGTAGCGAGCTTCCCGAGCTCGTGCTCCTTAGGTCCGTCCTGACATGAATGTCGAAGTGCCCTTGGACCGAGGTGGTCCTGGTGTGATCTTGTGCCGAGGTGCACTTGTCCCGAAGTAGTCTTGACCGAGGTGGTTCATCTATCCGAGCCCAATCGGTAGTAAACTTGGTTCTGTTATCCTGGTCGCGATTTGGTACTGAGACGATCTTAGTTCGGGATACCCTTAGTTCGGGGTATCCTTAATTCGGGATATCAGGGTACCCGAGGTCACTTTGTAGCGAACTAATCATGTTGAGCTATCACTGGCGTCAGATCACGTCCACGTGTCAATCTGATAATGTCGAGTTGTCGCTTATGCCGAGTCATGTCCACGTCTCTCCCTGTCACGAGGTCAGGCCAAATTCCCCTTTATTACAAAGCATTCCAAACCCGACACTTCCGTTGTATTTATAATTAAATTGTTTTTGTAAAACGTGAACTTATATTAGCTTATGTATTATGTATTGAAGTTAATCATATTTTGAATCGGAAGAATAATTGATAAGTTATATGCTTTTTATATATTTCAATCAAATAATTAGAAATTTTGATATTTATTTATATTATTTATTATTTACATATAATAGTATAATTAGATGCAGGTTTTCGTTTAACTCATGATTTTTAAAACTGGATGGGATCTGAAAAACCAAGAACCAATTAGGTGTGATCTGTTCTGTTTTTCATTAAAACCAGATTTTTGCCAAAAAAAACGTTGATTTATTTAACAAATCGATTAAGAGTCCGATTCTCAGGTCGAACGGGATAAGGTACACTTGAAATCCTGATTCAGAGAAGAGGAGTCCCAAATTCCCAATCACTTGCCAGCAAAATAGGTTCTGGCAGGTGATCCCAACTCAGAGGAAAGGGGGTTTAAGGCCCGTTGCTATCTCTAAACGTCGATTGAGATTAAAAAAAAAATAATAATGGAAATTCAGAATGAATTGTTGAACAGGTCCCACTTGACTAGGAGAAAACTATTCATTTTATTAATCTATATGTATTCGGCTGATTGCCGTTGATAGTTTTGAACTACGGAAAAAGATTCAAAGTTCGAAGTCTTCTGAACCGCATATTAAGATTGTTTCCCACGCGGATTACAATCAGAATGTCAGTTTCAAAGTTCTAGGTCTTCATCTGGATGGTCTTTGTCTCTTAACCCACGAAGACGATCTTAGCTACAAGGAAAGAACAAACATTATATATAGATAGCGAAGAGGAGAGAAATGGTAAATTACATACGGGGTTGGATTGCTCTCTGATTACTACGATCGATATTTCGATATTTACAATATTTGAAGTAGAAGACGAAATGTTTAGATCTCTGTGTCGAACTCCGGTGATCCGTTCCAGAATCAGATATCTTCTCTGTGTTCCTGCAAATAAAAGCTGCTTCTTTTCTTCTTCGGTAATCCCAGCTCTTCCAAGCAGGACTATTGCTCGTTTCAGTGTTTCAAAAGGTATCTATATCTATAATGGCATACTTATCCTTTTATTATCGGTTCTTCGTCTCATTTAATCTTTAATTAAGCTGCTAAGAAAACTCAGAATTCGGTCGACTCCCAAATATATCGAGGAAGTTATTAAATCAGCTAAAAGTAAATCAGTGTATGAAGAGCTGATAAATAAACAGAACTACCAAGCTTCTCTTTTGATTCGACCGAGTCTTCTATTAGCTCATATTCAACAACAAAAAAAAAATCGTAATTAAGAAGTTAATTTATTTGTTGGAATTACTTTCTTCTTTTTTCAGTTATTCCAGGTAAGGAGGTTAGAGGTGTAAGTTCTTTCAACGTTAGATCTATGACAACTACTTCAGTAAGTTCGAAATCAATAATCCCGGAGCAAGTGGTAATAACTGAAAACGGAGAGCAAAAGGTTGAATTACTTACTGCTTCCGACGATGAGCATGAAGGTGTGATTGTAAACGTGAAGGATCCTATGGATCCTGTCGTCTTTGTTTCTTCTCTTAGAGCTTCAATGGCACACTGGAGGCAGCAGGTGGTTATTCTGATATACCTCTCCTCCCTTCCTCTTCAATTGCTTAATTTGTTAATTTTTCCTTCTCGATAACGATAAAAAAGAACCCCGCGTAAACTGGTTAATTAATTACTATCATAACTAGACACTTATATGGTTTCTTTGAATGCAGTTCTACAAGGAAACTCCATGAAAAGCTATCATCTTTTGGTTAATTTCTTTGAATCTTCGACTAACGTGATTATTTAACTTCATCTCCAACTAATTATAAATTATTCAACGAATCTGCACAGACATTTTCATGCTCAACTGAATGACTTATTTGTGACCGGACAAATCAGGAAGGCACAAACTTGTAAGCACGTTCAATGAACATTTAAAAAAAATTTTTTGACCCCTGTCCCTTAAAATACCTCATTAAAAAATAACTTCTCACAGTTCTCAAAATATTTATCAAGTAATTGAATGTGCTTAGTAGATCCTATCGTTGTATTTGTTATAGTAATCGACCCATTTTAACTTTAGCCATGCATAGCTCACAGTAGGGGTGTCCACGATTCGGTTAACTGAATCATAGTTAAAATTTTCAAACCGAATCAGTCTTATTGGTTTTTTAATTTCTCCAAACCAAATTTCTTCAAACCGAAAACTGAAGTGGTACCACTAGTTAATCGATTGATTGGTCTTGGTTTTTGGCCGATTTGGTTCTTTGGCTTTTCAGTTTTTTATATTTATAATATATATTATATAAATATATATATATATAATATTATATATGTATATAATGCATATATATTTATATATAATATATAGAAAATATATGATATATATTAAAAAATATATAATATATATATAAATATATATACTGATTGGTTTGGTTAATTACCAGTTTTTTTAGGTTAACCAAAAACCGAACCGGTCCTTTAGTTTTTTAAAAATATTGAACTGATCGGTTCAATTAACCACATTTTCCGGTTCAAATTTCTCGGTTCGATTCAATTATTCAGTTTTTTATGGACACCCATAGCTCGCAGCCTTCTTAATTAACTTATTCACTAAAAGATAAAACAATAAACCACTTCAGGTGTTAACAATTAACTAAACACTTGCATTAATTTCTAGACTTTTATTGTAACTTCACTAAGTAGGAGAGTAGATTGGGTAGAATGGCATTGAGCTAGGGTTCATCCTTAACAGATAAATTGAGTGGTGGCTAGTCTGCTAGAAGCCTAGAACTAGCTTTTTGCTCTCCCGCAATGGAAGATTCATTTTCCTCTTATAGTCTTATATAAACATTATTTTGTTTAGACTCTATTAATTAAATTGGGTTTATATTGTCATTGATGAAAAGACACCCCAAGACATTCCTATATCAAGTGTGGAGCGTACATGTTCCACGCATGGTTTGAAGTATCGATATACCTTTGTTTGTATATCGATAAAGACTTTTATATTATTTAAGCAGTAAAAAAGTTGAGTTCCTGAAAACATACAATAGGATACATTCGATACATTGATTCTTTGGACCTTGGTTCCACGTATTTATATAGATGATAATATGGGCTTTATTTGGTACTTAATCTCTATTGGTGTTGGTGTGGAACATTTTTACAGGGAAAGAAGGGTGTTTGGATTAAATTGCCTATTGAACAAGCCAATCTTGTTGAAGTTGCTGTGAAGGTAATTGGAATTCTTTGTCTTGTTTCTTTAAGCCCCGTTTAGTTCGTGAGAATAGGGGTATGGAATTAGAATCGGAATGGGTTATTCTGATTTTAACTGTTTGGTTGGATGGAATCAGAATCTTATTCCCATTCTTGTTGGAGTGACATTCCCTATTTGAGAGAATGGTCATTCCCCGCCCCTCCCTTGGGAATGAATCCCATTCCTTCTGATTTCAATTCCTATTGAACCAAACAAATTATAGGAATGAATCATTCCGATTCTGATTTTGAAAGATTTTAATTCCGATTTCAATTCTAATTCCCATTGCAAACCAAACTGATAATAAGGGTCTAGTGAAGGTGGAATTAGGTATTTAATTATGTATGTTGATGAAGTCCGGTTGCTGGAAAAGTTAATATTTCTGATATGTTGATTGATATGCATGCAGGAGGGGTTTTTATACCACCATGCTGAGCCAAAATACTTGATGCTTACTTATTGGATCCCTGAAACTACTAATATTCTCCCTGTGAATGCTTCACACCGAGTGGGTATTGGTGCTTTTGTGATGAATGATAAACGTGAGGTATTCCATCTGTGCATTTTGCCATCTGTCATGGTTAAATCAACAAAAAGTAAGACAAAAGTTCTATATAAGTCTTAGAATGATGAAATTTATATATACAATACGTTTGAAACGGAGCGTATTGTATCGAAACTTTGAACTTTATTTGTAAATTGGAAGTGGAAAATTATTTGTATACAAACACATGTTTGATTAAATTATTTGTATACAAACACATGATTGATTGGATTATCGTAACACTTCCATATGCTGAAATAATGTTCTTTTTATCGTGATTTTGACTGGTTTTTGGTAGGTGCTAGTAGTCCAGGAAAAGAATGGCAAATTGAGGGGTAAAGGTATTTGGAAGTTTCCTACTGGATCTGTTGAAGAGGTCTCTGTTCCCCCTTGGATACGTGATTTAGTTTTTCCTGACAAAAAAATATGATATTTAATACACATATGTTCTCGTTTCCACCATTAAATGAATACTTATATTACAGGGGGAGGATATTTGTAAAGGGGCAATAAGGGAAGTCAAAGAAGAGACTGGAGTAAGTGATAAGCATTTCATATACAATTTCATACCGACTTTCTATTGCGCATAATTTCAAGATTCTATATTAGTGCAATAGATGATCTTACTGGGATGATATATATTTGGTTTCTTGTATGACAGATTGACACAGAGTTTGTTGAAATTTTAGCATTCAGGTGAGAAAGCTGTTTCAATCCTTTAATTAACTCTTCTATATTGAATAAAAAAAGTTTTCTTGCAGATAAGGGCAATTTTTTGTCCTGAATATCAATAAAAGATAATATTTTTATAAATATTTAAAATAAGATAATTTTTTTTTGAAAAATATCAAAGAAGGGCAATGACATTGTTCATCGTCTTCCATTGCCCTTCGTTCTTTGCTCTCTCGCGCGAAAAAGGACACAGCCTTTTATGGTCATTGAAAGCATCCTGGTTTTTGTACCGGATGCGCCTTTTATAGTCGATGAGATTTGTTGGATTTTAATCTCATAAGAGATTAAATCCAATGGGTTTGATTGGCCAATTACATGAGAAATTGCACCTATACACTTGATTGAAAAATTAACTTTTTTCTTGCAAAACCCAGTTTTGAACTTGTCCCACATTGGAAAATTATAAGTTTTGTTTTCAGTATTTTAATAGGAACTGACTTACACTCCTTAGAACACATGCGCATGTGCGTGTGTGCGGCGCAATGAGGCGCTTTAGAGATGCACTTTGCTCGCACCCGCGTGGCTCATGAAGGGTGGCTTTGGTTTTGGTGCGATGCTGACCGTTGATGAGATCAACGGTCACGATTCAATCGGGTGTGATCAAGAGGTATAATTCAAAGTTAACAGTCATTTTCTTCATAAACTATTTAAGGAGCATGAATTAGACATCAAAAACACACATTTTTGAAATCCATGTTCTGTCTCTGTCTCTGTCTCTCTCAGATCTGCTACAGTTTCACAGAAGGTTTCTTTAGAGATTCTTCAACTTTGCTAGTTGTAGATTCTTGCCCAAGGCTCTATTGTATCTTGGGAACGAATTTGCCTGTAACCCCAACAACAAACTCAGTGAAACTAAGTGGGGTCAAATAACATTCTAAAGACAGTGTCGTCAGACGCGCCTTAGAGCTTCTCCTCCAAAGTTACAGTGACCCCATTTTCCAACAATTGGATTTGAAAACCGCTTTGGTCGGTGAGATTGGACTTGAAAATGTAGAAAGGGGAAAAAGGACGTGCCTTTTACAGTCGTGGGAACGACGATTCTCGTGTTGAGCATCCTGGTTTCTATTCCACACAAAAACCGCTTTGAGATCTTGGTTTCTCTTCCATGCGAAAACCGCTTTGAGATCCTGGTTTCTGTTCCACTCAAAAACCGCATTGAAATCCTGGTTTCTGTTTCATACGTAGAGGAAGATGATGAATAGTGTCATTGTCCTCTCATTGCCCTTCCTTCATATTTTTCAAAAAAAAAATTACATTGTTTTAGTTATTTTATAAAAATATTATTATCTTTTATTAATATTCAGGGCAAAATGTTGCCTTTATCTGCTAGAAACCCAATAAAAAATCACCATCTCCCGCCAATGCCAATGTTGGGGGGACAAATGTAGTTAGCCTTACCTTTGTACATATAGAGAGCCTGTTTTGAAGATTTGAACCCTGGTTACCTAGGTATAACTATTTTAGCTAGCTAGTTAAATTGAAAGTGAACATGTTAACAAACACACATCTTAAAATTTCTAATATGATGACCATATAGAAAGGACAAGGAAGATAAAGATGATAATATTGTTAAAAAATAAAAATCTATCCATGGATCATGCTTTACAACTTAAGCTTTTAGATTGAACAGTTCCTTGAGATGATATCATATCCTATTTGACCAAGTAATTTAGTGCTTGATCCTTGCTACCGTCATGATGATTAATTAATTAAATTTCCATACAAGGTATGAATATATCGCTAATAGCTAATAGCTAGCTTAACCTTTTAGCTTGAATGTTCATGTGCGGGTGATGTACTTATCATTGGGTTGGTCTTCTTTTCCAATATCCTCCTTTAATTAACTTATTAAATATTTTACTCAGGCAAAGGCATAAGTCATTTTTTGAGAAGTCAGACTTGCACTTCTTGTGCATGTTGCATCCTCTCTCGTTTGAGATTCAGAAGCAAGAATCAGAAATTGAAGCAGCCCAGGTAATTCATGATTCACAATTAACAATTCAGAGCAACAACTGGAATGCCATTCCTTGTGAAGTATACAACTTAAATGTTCCCAACTCATTAATCGACTATTTACTACTACTACTGACTTGATTTTCCTAGGTTTTTTTTACCTTGCATCAAGGACTTTAAAAGCCACTCTTATGCAATATATAACATCATGGTACGAACCATGGTTTTGAGAACTGAATCAGATTGGACGGTCGGATTGGTTAATCTGAAACCATCCAGATAATCGGTTCTGTTTCACTCTAAAATCTCTTTTGAGCCAAAAGTCATTGATTTGGTCAGTGACTTGTTGATTCGGGTGGTTGAATCGTTAATTTTGATAATAATTTTGACTGTTTTTTTTTTAATTATTTTTTAAATCAGAACATACCGTCTGTTCAATTTAGATGATTAGACTGTTTAACCAAAAACTGGTCGCTAAAACGATTCCATGTCCAGTCCGGTTTTTAAAACCATGACAGTAACAACATATGAAAAAATTGTTCCTTCTTATGTGCATAAAGCCACATTTATTTTTCTAAAATCTAGAGTAGCTCTGTAGGGGCAGAGATGGTCAAACTAAGAATTTGGGTCCATATATATGGGTCTAAGTTAAGATAATATATGGAAAGCCAGCCATCTAAAGATATATGGTTTCTTCTATTTGTGGTCACTGACCGGGAGGATAAACCATTGAAAAGCTTCTAATAACTGTAAACAATATATACATGTTTTGTCTTAACTTGTCTAATCTCTGCTTTTCCTCCAGTGGATGCCAATTGAAGAATATGCTGCCCAACCCTTTGTCCTAAAACACGAGGTTTTCAAGTACTTCACTGACATATGCCTAGCAAAGAAAGATAATGACTATGCCGGGTTTTCTGCAGTATCTACGAGATCGAGTTGTTCTGATAAACCACGCTACTTGTATCTAAACACGCATGATCTGAAGCTGCCTCCAAGTTGATCTGATCTGGTGACCATCAGTAAAAAAGTGTAGGCTTCATTTCTGAATTGCAATTTCATTCTCTATGCATTTTTCTATTATTATTGGAATCATAAGCATCCTATGATCTTCCTTTCCAAGAACTGGGATGGTGAATCGTTTTTCTTTTTTTGTTTTTGTCGCGTTTTTTGTACATCTTACTCATTGGTGGTAGGGGTTGGCAGCTGAGTGCTAGTTGGTGTTGTCAACATTTTCGAACAATACTCTCTTGTGTTCTTTACTGATGATCTCTAATGTTTTGTCCCAACTCCCAATTATTTCATTGTAATATACTTGTCATATAATTTTGTATGAGGAGAGGTGCATATAATTTTGGAATTGCAAAGGAATACTCATAAGTCCTAGATTAGGATTAATTTGGGGACCATATGAGAATTAGACGATCTACATGAATGCATTTCCTAATTTGATAGTCCGAGTCATATAATTTATCAAAATGAATGGTAAATTTGATTATCCAAGTTAGCAAATAGAAGAGCTATATGCATGTAGATTTAATAAAAATATTTTATTAGATACTAAGGCTGTATTTAGAAATGATGTAAATATGTAGAGTGTAAAATCGTTCATATAAATTATAAAGTTGGGTTAGTTTTGCACTAACAAATTTATCTTCTTACCAAACAAACTTTTAGCTGTAATGAATGCAAACATGAATTTAAATAGAACATATGCTTTTTTTTTATTATCAAAAGCCCACTTGAATGCAAATTTACTTCTTTTTTAATGATGTACTTTTACATCTTATTATCAATATAAATACATTGATTTATTATTTATTAATACATAAATATAATGTTGCTAAACACAGACAAAAGTGAACTAGAGTACAAATTTACCCTGAAGCAAGATTTATACTCTATTTGCATCGTTTCCAAAAACAGACTTAACTGTTGTAGCTGTAGTCCTCTATCAGAAAAAGATTCAAATTATCAAGAATAGTTATACTAAACTCATGTTCTATTCAATCTTTAAAAAAATGTCTGTTTTAACTTTTAAGGCTCGGCTTCAATTATATAATGTTGAAAGAAAGAAACATTATAACTTTTGGTGCCTAAAAAACATTCTACCAAAATAGTTAAATAACTAGCGGAGTTACCCGTGCTGAGCACGGGCTTGAATATTTGGTTTCACAAACAAAATGCCGCTATTCTCCACTTTCCAACTTCAGATCTCTGCACCCAATTGCCAACAGAGGCCGAGGCATAGAAGCCACCTATGGCTCTTCTCGTTCCCACCCGGCGGGCAAGACCAACGTGGTTCCTACCGATAAGATAACGTCAAGGGAACCTTCAACTGAAAACTTGGGCAATTCGATCGATATGGGTTCGGCGACATTGTTTCGTCGAATAAGATGATCACCAACTACATTCGTTCTGGTGATTTGGATTCTGCGCTTAGGGTATTTGAGAACATGACTGTTAAAACCATAGTTACTTGGAATTCAATCTTGGCTGGCTACTGAGGCAGGCCAGGAAATTGAGAGTAGTGCGCCAACTATTTGATCGAATTCCTGAACCGGATACGGTCTCATTCTATACCATGTTAGCTTGCTACTTTCAGAACTCAGATATCGAAAGCGCTTGGCGTTTTTTTGATAGAATGCCAGTTAGAGATGCTGCATCTTGGAATACCATGATTTCAGGTCTCTCTCAGAATGGGAAGATGGCTGAAGCCCATGAGCTCTTTAAGGTAATGCCAGAAAAGAATAGTGTATCGTGGAGTGCCATGATTTCGGGTTATGTGGAGGTTGGTTGTTTGGTGACTTGGAATGCCATGGTTGCTGGTTATGTGGAGAATGGTCAAGCAGAGGCTGGATTAAAGCTTTTTAGAAGGATGGTGGCAACGGGAATCAGGCCCAACCATTCGAGCTTTTGTCGCGTTCTCTTGGAGTGCAGTAGTTTGTCTGCTCTGGAATTGGGGAAACAGGTCCGTCGGTTTATCTCTAAGTCACCCTTGAATCTTGATACAACTGTTGGGAGTCGGAGATGATAGATTGATGGGTGGACTTATCGGTCCTTAGATTGAGACAAATCTCTGAGAGAACGCTCTTCAGACCCTCTTTCGCATTTGTTGAATATGGAGTCCGGCGGGATCATGTAGGAACCGATGACAACGACCTTGTCGGTCTCGGGCTCCTCCCAAGCGTTCCAGAGGTGGAAGCAAAAGCAATCGGGCGCTTCGGCCCATCTAATCCCCCAAGCGTCGAGGACGTTCTTGTCCACGTTTTTGACACATGTTCCTTAAAATACCCTCAATCCTTAAAAAAGATTAATACCCACTTTTGACGATTATCAAAATATTTATCAAGTGCTCATTTAACTAGTTAATTTGATGTACCTACTAGATTTGGTCCCAATTCCAAACTGGAAAATCTTGTTCTTGTCATAGACGACTGGAGAACCACCTCAGATCATCTCCTATAGCTTGAACACCACCTGCTGATGGGATCACCACAAACCTATCATAGACGACAATTCCTTTTGGACAGATCCAAGGTATAAGTTTTGAGTTTCAATTTGGTTTTTATAAAACAGAAAAAACCATTCCACTATTTTTGTACTAAAAAATGATTGTAGATACCTTTTCTTATAGGAAGAGAAGGCCACGTCCTCTTAATGAAGGCCCATCCCACCATAGTATATATAATAGATAGTGTAATTTAATCAAATACACAATCATAAGACTTAAACGGAAAATTGGTGATGGGTGGAGTTTGGCATAATTGCCAGGATCTTGTTCAACTTGATATCTGCTAGTGGAGACATAGGTAATGTTCTTCATTTTTCCTATTTATTTCTCATTCTTTGGACTTTGATCACTAAACAACTTGAAGTGACTTGTCAATGGAGTACTAACTGGTTTTGCCTTATCCATACAAAAATCTCTCAAACACTTTTCAATGTAACTTTTTGTGATAGTCACAATTTCTTGGATTTCCTATCGCGTGAGATTTTCATGCCCAAGATTTATTGAGTTGGACCTAAGTTTTTCATGGAGAAAGACTTGATTAACTTTTTCTTTAAACTGTCAATTTTTGTCTTATCTTACCCAACAATCAACATGTCATCAACATAAACAAAATAATGATAAAATAATCACTAGAAAAATACTTAGGCCTTATTTGGTTCGTAGGAATAGGGGTTTGGAATCGGAATCGAAATGGGCTATTCCAATTCCAACTGCTTGGTTGGGCAGAATTGGAATCCCATTCCCATTCCTGTTGGAATGGCATTCCCCCATTTGAGGGAATGGCCATTCCCTGCCCCTCTCTTGGGAATGAAATCACATTCCTACTGATTTTAATTCCCATTCCCTACTGATTTTGATTTCGATTTCAATTCCGACTACGAACCAAATGGACCCTTAGTGAAAACACAACGATCTGAAGTTGTTTTTACCATGCCCATGTTCTATCACGAATAATTCAAATTTTTGGTATCATTGCCATGGTGCTTGTTTCAAACCATACAAATTTCTCTTTAACTTGCAAACCATGTATTCCTTTCCGTTGATAATAAATCCTTTCGGTTGTTCCATGTTGATGTGTTTTTCCAAATCACCATGGAGAAAAGTTTTTTTGACATCTAATTGTTCAACCTTCAAATCCATGCTTGTAGCTAAGCATAATGTGATATGTATTGATGACATTTTTATCATTGGAGAGAATATTTCATCAAAATCAACACCCTTTTTCTATCCAAATTCCTTCACAACCAGTCTTGCCTTGTATCTTAATTGTGAGCTTATACCTTCAAGCTTCAACCTGTATGCCTTTTTACCCTTGGGTAGTTCCACCAAATCATATATATGGTTCTTCCCTACCCCTCCCATGGGAATGAAATCCCATTCTTGCTGATTTTAATTCCCATTCCAATTTGAACCAAGCAGACTATGGGAATGGACCATTTCGATTCCGATTCCGATTTCGGAGAATTTCGATTTCGATTCCGACTACGAACCAAATGGATCCTTAGTGAAAACACAATGATCTGAAGTCGTTTTTACCATGCCCATGTTCTATCATGAATGATTCAAATTTTTTGTATCATTGCCTTGGTGCTTGTTTCAAACCAATACAAACTTCTCCTTAACTTGCAAACCATGTATTCATTTCCATTGATAATAACTCATTTCGTTTGTTCCATGTTGATGTGTTTTTCCAAATCATCATGGAGAAAAGTTGTTTTGACATCTAATTGTTCAACCTTCAAATCCATGCTTGTAGCTAAGCATAATGTGATATATATTGATGACATTTTTATCATTGGAGAGAATATTTCATCAAAATCAATACCCTTTTTCTATCCGAATTCCTTCACAACTAGTCTTGCCTTATACCTTGATTGTGAGCTTATACCTTCAAGCTTGAACCTGTATGCCTTTTTACCCTTGGGTAGTTCCACCAAATCATATATATGGTTCTTATGCAAAGAATATATCTTTCTTGCATAGCCTTGAACAAATCATTCTTATGCTCACTTTCTTGAGCTTCATGATAGCTTTCAGGTTCACTTTCATCTAAAAACATTATATATTCATTTGATTGGTGACTTTTCCTATTTGATTTTCTTAATTCAACTGGTGGCTGTTGAGGGGGCTGCTCCCCTTGTTCATCATCACCATTTATATCTTCATTTGGAACATTCTCATCATTTTCTGAGTTCACATTTTCTTGTTGCACATCTCCCTCATTATTTTTGTGCACTAAGGGAGTAAAAACCGGATCCAAGTCTACAAGTTCACACCATCATCTACTTGAGGCTTCTTGATTTTTCTCAAAATCTTCAATTGTTTGGTCCTCAAGAAAGACTACATATCTTCTTTTCCACTGGATCCTATAACCTGTAACCAAACTTTTCATCTACATATTCCAAGAAAATGCATTAATTGGTTTTGTCATTAAGCTTAGATTGTTCATCCTTAAGTATGTGCACAAAGTCCTTACAACCAAATACCATGAGATGATTATAGGAAATATATTTTCTTATTTATACCATTTTAGCATCATCACCATTTAAAGGAACTACAAGAGATAAATTTATGAAGTACACAGTTGTATGCATAGTTTCTCCCCAATAGCATCTTGGCAACTTTGCTTTTGATAGAATGCATCTAATTCTCTTTAGAATTGTGTAGTTCATTCTCTCTGCTACACCATTTTGTTGTGGGGTCTTAGGAACTGATTGCACATGCCAAATGCTATGGTTTTTACAATAGTCC